AAATCAAGTGTAAGACAAAATAGATGATTGGACCATGCTAAAAATCAGAAATTTATATGCATCAAATTTTTTAAACAAAAGAGTGAAAAGGGAGCCCATAGAATGGGAATAAAATCTTTTGCAAAGATATATCAGACAAGAGACTAATCTCTAAAATCTATAGGACACTAGAACAACTCTACAAGAAAAAGACAACCCAATTAAAAAATGCGCACAGAACATGAACTAACACTTCAAAAGGAAGACATTTAGCCAGGAAACAAAGATATGAGGAAATGTTCACGATCATTAGTTATTGTTGTTGTTGTTGTTAAGTGCTATTGAGTTGATTCTGACTTATAGCGACCCTTAATAGGTTTCTGAGGAGCAGTTGGTGAGCTAAAACCACTGACCTTGCAGTTCAAACGGTTTTGCAGTCTGGCGCATTAGTCATTGTTGTTGTTGTTAAGTACTGTGGAGTCGCTTCCAACCCTGAGCGACCCTGAACAGGGTTTCCGAGGCTGCAATCTGTACAGGAGCAGAAAGTATCATCTTTCTCCCACAGAGCAGCTGGTAGTTTCAAACTCCTGACCCTGAGGTTTGTTGCCCAATACGTAATCACATCTCACATCCGCAATAATAGCTAAGTTCAAAAAGGCAGAGCACCATAAATGCTGGCAAGGATGTGGCCAGACTGAGACCCTCTTACATTGATTATGGGGATCTAAAATGGTTCAAACACTATGGAAAATGGTATGGGGATTCCTAGGAAAGGCAGAAAAAGAAAGACCATATGATCCTGCAATTCTAGTACTTGGTATATATCCACAAGAAATACAATCCAGAACATGGGTAGCTACATCCACACCAATGTTTATTGCAGCACTATTCTCAATAACAAAAATATGGAGACAGCCTAAGTATCCATCAATGAAAGAATGGATAAACAAACTTTGGTGTATACATACAATAAAATATCATGCTACCTTGAAGAATAGCAATGAAGCTGAAAACCACTGTAAAACATAGATGAACTTTGAGGACTTTATGCAGAGTGATATTGTTGCTGTTAAGTTTTGTTGAATCAATTCTGAGACAGAGCGACCCTGTATAGGATTTCCAAGAAGCATCTGGTGAGCTTGAACTACCAACCTTGCAGTTCAAATGACTTTGCATTCTGATGCATTAGCCCTCAGTGCCATATTGGTCACTCACAAAAGAACAGGTATTGAATAAGATCAATATTGTAAAACCTTAAGAAAAGATACCCATACTAAAAGAAAAAACAAAA